CTGACTCTGGTACGTTTATTAGTAGAGGTGGTCGAAGGTGGGGTGTTCGAAGGGCCAGATATAGAGGAACCTTGACCAGAAACGTTGCCTGCTGGAGAGCTAGAGGCAGGACGTTTAGAAGTAGTATCGTTGTTAGACTTGTTGTTTTTCTTTTTCTTGTCTGTAGTCATTTTGTAAAGTGTCGTAGTTATCTAAAATAAAGAAAATATAAAGAAAAAGTAATAAAAAACTTTGAAAAAATTTTTTATTTTTTTCGTAAATATTGTCAAGTGAGCAGAACGGGAGAGAGTTTAGTTTTATCCTTTTCCGATCACTGGCTGACGAGTTATTCAACAAAATGTTAAACATCGTCATTATAATATTTCTTGATTTACGTTTACTGCACCATTTAACATTTTGCTAGATTTCTCAGTACCTAGTGATTGTAAAAAGACGATTTATAGCTCGTTGGAATCGCCTCATCGAGACGAATCGAATGGTGGTAAGCTCATCTCTCTGTGATCAATATTGACGGAGTTATTACTTAAAAACCATTTAATATTTTTTAATTTCGGAAATTGATCTAGTGATTAGATTTCGATGTATCTTATACCATTAGATTTGTCTCATCAAGACGAATCGAATGGTAGTAAGATCGTCTTTCTAGGATCAATATTGACGGAGTTATTACTTAAAAACCATTTAATATTTTTTAATTTCGGAAATTGATCTAGTGATTGGATTTCGACGTATTTTATACCATTAGAACCGTCTCATCAAGACGAATCGAATGGCGGTAAGATCATCTCTCTACGATTAATATTGGCGAAGTTACGATACAATAAAGTTTTAAGTATAATTCTGGCTAAAATTATGTTAATTTTTGGCTGGAATTATGATATACAAATATAAGAAATTTTTTATATAGTCACATCTCTTTATAATCACCAAATATGGACTGTCCCAAATGTGTGACTATAAAGAGAGTTGACTGTACCTTAAAATATTTTATTACATAAACCAATATTTTTATAATAAATTCTATAGTATTTTCTAAGTAAAAATTGAAAAAAAAAGCAATTTGATTAATGATTTTTTAAAAGTAAATGATCAACAAATTATAATAAATAGTAGCTAAATTTTTCAAATTGAAATATCTTTTTATCCATTAATCCTAGAAATATAAAATTACCACCATTTGATGCGTCTTAATGAGAAGAATCTGATAGAAATAAAATTGTTTTTCTACAAATATTATGTGACAGGATAACTTATAAAATCTAAAAATTTATAAATCAATATAGCTTTTTATTTATCAATTTTAGAGTTATGATTTTATTACCATTAAATGCACTTTAATAAGAGGAATCTAATAAATATAATTTCATCCTTTTATGATCACTAGATCTTAAGATATTTTAAAAATTCAAAAATTTTTAAAATTAATTTTAACTCCTACAGTTTAAGGGATAAGATTTTTAGTAATACTTATAAATTTTAGTTTTTTTATTATCATAAATCCCATTTTATTTGGTAATATTTATAAAAAGAATGTTAAAAAATTTCTAAAGTAAAAAAAAAAACTTATTTTTCTTATTTACTTAATTATTTTATTATCTAAAGTCCAATATATAATTTTGATTAGTATTTTTGTTTTTATATAACTATAAAATTACTTTAAAAAAAGGAAAAGAAAAAAAATAAAAGAACATTGAGTTACATTAATTTAAAAAAAAATTTTTTTTTTTTATAAAATTAAAGGATAAGGAAAAGAAAAATAAATATTTTTTTTTAAACTTTTAATATATGTAATATATGATATATTTAATTATAAATTATTATTAATTGAAGGATTAATTTTACATTCACCTCTGGTGAATTTTATCAGGATGAATTTTGCTATAATTTGCATTATGCATAAATTTAATAAATTTTATGGTGATAGGTGAATTTCACCTTGATTTTCATAAATTTTTTAAAATGTTTTCCCCTGAATATACAAAGACGTCACTTTTCTCATTTTGTTATTTTTTTAAAGAAAATCCTTCTTTCTTAATAATAAATAACCTTAAATAGTTAGTTTCTTAAATAACAATATGGAATTTAATGCTTTTTGTTCTGATTATCATAATAATAGTTATGAGATAAGTGCTTTTATTTCAATATATTCTGAACCTTTTAATGATAATTTTACCAATATAAACCTTTTACTATATTCTAAACCTTTTAATATAAACTTTTTGCCATCATCTTTAGAACTTTCTGAGCCACCTTTTGTATCACCTGTATTACCATTTGTATTACCTGTTGAACCACTTTTAACTTCAGATGATAATTTTACAGATATAGAACCTTTGTTACCTTTAGAACTATCTTTTGGTAATAGTAATTATCAATATAATTTGGCTGTAGGAGATTCTTTTGATAATTGGTTATTAGTTAATACATTTATGCATCAATATTGCTTAGAACGTGGTTTTAAATATCAAATTTTCCGTAATAATAAAGATTCTAATGATTCAACTATTATCAGATGTAAATCATTTCATTGTTCATTAAGTGGCAATTATGAACCTCAAAAAATAATGGATTAAAAATTACATCAGTTACGTGGTACTATTAAAACCAATTGTAAATGGCATGTTAACTTTACATTTCCTAAATCTGCACATCAAATAGGGTGCACAACATTAAAAGATGTGCATAATCATAAGATAAATCCTGCACAAATATCTCATATTATTGCTAGATATAGACGTCTTAATAGTGAAATAATTCAAGACTTAAAGTTTTTTCAGATTGCAAGGTTGCACCAATTACACAATTAAAGATACTTAAAAAAAGTATTCAGAACATGTATTTCACAAGCAAGACGTTTATAATGCAATTTATAAATTGCGTTAAAATAATAGAGATGAAAAACTGGACTCAGTTTTATTTCTTAATGTACTTTTAGAAAAAATGACTCAAGACCCACGTTGAAAGATTTATATTTGACATTCTGGTAATAAATGTCATTTATCAGGCATCTTTTGGATGTCTCCCTCTCAACAAGAATTATATCAACGATTTTCTGATGTAGTATTAAACGATAATACTTGTAAAACCAATAAATACAATATGTATTTAAGTGTGTTAATGGTAAAAGACAACTATGGACGATTTTGAAATATAGCAAATGCACTAGTGGAAGACGAAATGGCATCTACATACACATGGATTTTGCAATGTTTAATGAAAGCTACTGATAATATTGCGCTAAAAGCATTTTGGACTAAGGTTGCTTACTGAAACCTAGGGGTTTAGGCAAGGTGGCGTTTTGCCGAAAAGTGAAATTCTGCCAAAACTATATTAAAGTTATATTAAAAAACTGGCGAAACTTTGGAGAAAGGCGAAACTGCCGAAACTTATTATAAATGCTGAAACTGCCAAAACTTTGCTGAAACTATAATAAATCTATAGTAAAATTTTAACGAAACTAATCGTAGGATTTTGAAGAGGTTTAGACAAGCAACCTTATTTTAGACAGATTCAGAGCCAGAATTAATCAATGCAGCTTCTCAAATTTTTCCTACAACGCCCCATTTTTATTGTTTATTTCATATCTGGTAAAATATAATTAAGAATCTTAAATCAAAATTAGGATTAAGATTTCATGCTTTCAGTAAGGCTTTTTATTTATGTAGAAACGTACTAAGCATAGAATTATTTGAGCAATGTTAGGCATTTATGATAAATGAATTTCCAGAGTGTGAATGCTATATGACTAGGGCATTATATGGTAATAGAATCAGTTGGGCTAAAGCTTATATGCCATTCCAGTTTAATAGTGGTATACAAAGTACCCAAAGTGTAGAATCGTTTAATGGTATTATTAAAAGGTCTTTAAATTCAGCAAGTACTCTTTGTGATATTGCAGAAACAATTGATAAAAGACATCAGGAGGAGTTTAACACACGTCGAATGACCAAAAACAGGCAAAAAAAATGGCTAGAATTGCATAAACTATTTGCAAATTTATATAAACTATTTACAAATAGTATAGGTTAATTCGCAAATAGCCAAAAACAGCCAAGAATAGCTAAGAATAGCCAAGAATAGCCAAGAATAGCCACTGCTTTTTGCGCCATTTTTTTTTGCCAATTTTTAGCATTTCGACTTGTATAAGTATTATCAATTAACAGATATTAAGGCGAAATATACACCAATTGGATTACCATATCTTTCATCTCAATTTTTTTCAAGTGTTGATGCAATTATTGTGAAATTTTTATTACCTTTTATATTATCTTTACAACGATATCAAATTTCACAATCTTTTATATATGAAGGACAGTTAACATCATATAGAGATGTGCCACTTAGTGTTATATAACATATATAACATATATATATAACTAAAAAAAATACATATAATATGAATAAAAATTTTTTTGATCAATCAATTACCAGGCTGTATATTCTGAAGTCACAAAAATTTTCATCCCTTATCTGTCACTGGTCACGTGAAGTGAGATTAATGATATATATAACATAAATAACATAAATAACATATATAACATGTTATGTTTGTTATATTTGTTGTTTTTAATGTTATAAATATTATATAGCAAAAATGGTATATTTTTAATATAGAATAATAAAAGTATATATTGTATTTATAAAATTTTTTATTCATATTGTATGTATTTTTTTAATTATATATATGTGTTATATATGTTATATAACACTAAGTGGTACATCTCTAACATCATACTTATTTGAGGTATATTAATAACACGTTAAATTAGTTTGTTAATAAGTTGAGATAGAGTTTAACATAAATTTTTGTTATAGAATTTACAAGCTGAAACCATTGATGATAATTTCATAGAAAAAGTGGTAGATGAACCACAAATAACATTGAAGGCTATACTTGATGGTATAGATACATCAAATATTATTAAAGTATGGAGAATTATTAGAATAGGAGGTATTTCTAGTAAAGAAAATCTGGTGGCTTTTTTTAGTGATAGGACCCATATTTGTATGTGTATAGAATCTATTACAAAGGAATTATTTGCCATCACTTTTGGCGAGTAATGCTTTATTCAAGTACTGCCATATTAGTATTATACCTATCAGATGGTATAAAGATAAAATTTTAATGAAATTAGATGATATTCTTGATAATTCACCAGTACTTACAGCATTAGAGTCATCTACTGAAGTTAATACAATATCACGAACAGTAGATTTTACTCTCCAAAGTCTAAGACAACTTCAAGGATCTTATCATAAAAAAAATGCTCAGAGAATTATTCCTCAAAGAAATCGTTTTGGTGTAGCATTTTCAACTGCTAAAACTGCAATTAATATTGCATTAGAAACTGGAAGTGATACTGAATTAGTAAAATTATTAAAAGATTTCATTTTGAATAAGCAAAGGAGTTGTAATGGTGATGGTATTGAATCAGAAATTATTAATGTAGTTGTGAAAAGTAATAGTCAAATTGTTTTTTTACAGGAGAATTTGATTAATCAAACTACAAATCCGTATGTTATTAAAATTTGAGGAGCTCCAAGTAAAAAAAGAATAAAAAGTGCTATAGAAATTTCAGGAAGGAGTGTGATACATGACATTACAAGTCAAACTAATATTCAACAAAGTAATGATAGTGATATAATATCAAGATCACAATGAAAATGCGGTCTTTGTGGAAAACCAGGTCATTATCAGAAAAGATGTCCAAATGGTAGAGAGTAGATGTGAAATCAATATATAATATAGTGTAAGTTTGTTAGATTATTTGATTATCCAATAGTTGTTATAGTAATCTATATAAGCGCATTACTAATTAATCATTGAATTGCGTTACTTATTACTTAATTAGAGCGAACGTGAAATTGTACAATGTTGCAATGCGTCGTTAAGGGGAATTAAAAAGGTGGGTGGGAGGTTTGGGAGGTTTGGAGAAAAAAATAAAGTCTTTTTCAAATAATTTTTTTTTAATTCATTGCTTCTAATGAAACTTAATCAATTTTTACTCAATAATCATAATAAAACATTCATTAGAAAGGTGAGAAAATTTTACATATTTTTATTCATTTTTATTGTACTTTTTATTGTATTTTTAATTACATAATATCATGTTAAAAATTGTACTTTTTTTAAAAACGAATTTTAATATAATAATTATAAATCACATGATATGGTAAAAATCACCTCTGGTGAATTTCACCTCCGGTAAGCGTTAAAATTATCCTTAATTGAAACTAAATTTTTTAATTTTAGTTAAATATAAACCAAATTTTATTAAAACTAAATATTTTTTTTTTAACTAGTATTTTAATGCATTTTTTTTAAAAACTTTTATATATAAAAAATGCTAAATTTTTTTATATAAAAGAAAAAGTAAAAAAAAAATAAAAAAATATTTATTTTTTTCTTGAAATTTTATATGTAAAAATTCTATTATTAGTAAATAATAAATGACATTATATGATACAGTATATATGTTATGCTTCAGAGATTGAAGTTCACGCACTTCAGATTAAAATTGTCACCTGATGCAGAACCCTGAAATTCTCTAATATAGATCATAAGTTATATTTTTGGCAAATTGACCCATTTTTTAAGGGTTCAAAAAACCATTTTTTTGTAAATATCTTGGCATCCAGTAGTCCAATTTCGATAAACTTTTTTTAAATTGTAAATCTGAATGAGAGCTACAAAATAAAAAAAAGTTCATTGAAATTGAATCACTGAATGCTGAGATATTTATAAAAAATGATTTTTTGAATTTTAGCAAAAAGTGGTGTTTTTGGCCAAAAGTTCCTTATAATCTTTAGGCCACTCCAATTTAATAGTTTGTTTAACGTACCCCACCCCCCTCATTTTTGAAAAATTTTTAAAAATAAACAAACATATGTTATATCATGTGACTTATAATAACATTACCGATCTATATAATATTTAAAAGAATTTCTTTCTAGTGCATTTGAATCTACTAAAGAAAATATTCCCAGTAGTATAATTAATAAAAGTAATATACGTAAACTTATTAATTACATTATCTGTAACACAGGTCGAAAAGTGAAAAATCAGGCATCAATCAGGCACCAATCGGTCACCAATCAGGTACCTGATTGGTGACCGATTGGTGCCTGATTGGCATTTTCGCCAAATACCGTCACC